CCAGCTCACACATTTTTGTCTTAGCCAAGGAAGGATGGCTCCAGAGCAAACTAATTTATGCAGTAGCCATATCACTCGCTCACAACTTTAATGCCAGTAGCTCACAAAGTAGAATTTTTGCTCACAAGACTCCACAGCTTAGAGGGAGCATTGGTTCCAGGATAATTATCTGAGACCATTTCAGTCTGTGACAGAGAAATTTGGATTCAATTGAAGTAAAACAGTCGCGGACTATGGAACCAACCCAGAAGGAGCCGCTGCAGAGCCGCGCCAAGATAGAACCCACCACGAAGCCGCAGGAAGAAGAAAGAACAAGCCGGCAGGGTGCCTGGTAGGCACTCACCTCCCCTATATACATTGTGGCCCTAGATAGGAAGTATAATATGCCTATGTAAACCGCTCAGAGCCTCCGGGATTGAGCGGTATAGAAATTGAATAAATAAATAATAAATAAATAAACACAGAGGCTGGCCGTGGGTTGCCGTGAGCCACTTGAGGGCACTTTCCACCACCCGCCGGCCTGGATCGCTTCTTCTCATCCCATGCTCGGGAGCCCGTTCCCCGCGTTCAGCTCTGCTCCCCTAAGGAAATGTGATTGTCTTTCCGGCTGCAGGTATGCCTATATTGAGTTTGCGGACAGGAGGTCAGTGCAGGCAGCTGTGGGGCTGGATGAGACCACCTTCCGAGGGAGAATCATCAAGGTAAGTGCGGAGGGGAAGAGAGGATTGGGCAATGCAGATTGGGCACTGCATCCTGGTCCGGCTCACCTTTTTTGGCCTGTTTCTGTTACTTGGGGCAAATCCAACGCCACCGATTTATTTGTTTGTTTGTTTTGATTTTCAAAAAGCTCTATTAAAATGGATAAACATATACAAGCTTAACAAAGAAGTGATAACAACAACCGGTTACAAGTAAACAATTGTGACAGTAGTATATCCAAAAAAATAAACTACTTTGAGGGAAGAAGGATGTAACATGTATAAATTTAGAACTAACAAAGGTCAGTCAGACTAATTCACAACATTAATAGTTTCAAGAATAGGCTCAAATTCCTTTTAAGAAGCAAAGTACTCAAGAACTGGAAACCAAATTTTAACGAAGTTCGAGGTATAGCGGTCAGATTCACCTGGTAACGTGGAGTCTGCTAATTTGTCCGTTATACAAAGTTCCTGAACGTTCCTGAACGTTCAAAAACCAATCGGACATGGTAGGTCTTAATAGCCATTCCTTGGGAAATGTGGTCCTGTAAAGGCCCAGGTATGCTATAGAATGTCCGTTATACAAAGTTCCTGAACGTTCAAAAACCAATCGGATATGGTAGATCTTAATAGCCATTCCTTGGGAAATGTGGTCCTGTAAAGGCCCAGGTATGCTATAGAATTTCCCATAGCGTTTCTTGGCACCCTTGCCAAATTACAGTAACCCAGGGTTCTTGAGGAAGAAACCCTGACAGTTAAATTGACTTAAAACCAAGGGGAGGGCCTGTGGCTCAGTGGAAGGTAAAGTAAAGGTAAAGGTTCCCGTGCTCGAAAGCCAGAATCTGACTCTAGGGTTGCGGTGCTCATCTCCGTTTCAAAGCCGAAGAGCCAGCGCTGTCCAAAGACGTTTCCGTGGTCATGTGGCCTGCATGACTAAACACCAAGGCGCACGGAACGCTGTTACCTTCCCACCGGAGTGGTACCTATTTATCTACTTGCAATTTCTTGCTTTCGAACTGCTAGGTTGGCAGGAGCTGGAACTAGAGACGGGAGCTCACTCCGTCGTGCGGCACACTCAGGTCTCGAACTGCTGAACTACCGACCTTCCACAGCCTGCAGTTCAGCGTCTTAACCACTTGAGCCACCGCAGCTCAGTGGAAGAGCCTCTGCTTAACATTCAAAAGGTTGCAGGTTCAGTGTTCCCTCTAAGCTGAGTTAGTGTGAGCTAGCTCTCAATTTTTTAGCCTCTAGCTCAGAGATTTTTTGTCTTCGCTCAGTAAGGACGGCTCCAGAGCAAACTGATTTATGCAGGAGCCAAAACGCTCGCTCACAGCTTTAATGCCAGGAGCTCATAAAGTAGAATTTTTGCTCACAAGACTCCACAGCTTAGAGGGGAGCATTCAACCCCCGGCATTTCCAGTTAGAAAGAAGGACCAAACAGCAGCCGATGTGAAAGACCTCTGCCTGAGTCCCTGGAGAGCTGCTGCCAATCTGAGTTAACCTTGATGGACCAAGAATCTGATTCAGTATAAGGCAGCTCCGTGTCATCAGTATAAATTTGCAGGACAGTAAGACAGGAGTTTGCCTCTTCCAAACAGGCCTTAGCATTATACAGAGCTAGAATTGTCCCACCACCACCACTAATCATACCATTTTAGAACTTTAAATGTCTTCAGAGTGGTTTGCAGTACAAGATCAAAGCAATGCAATAGCGAACAAAAGCCAGTGAAACCATGAAAATTAAGCTAGATCCAGGCTCCATGTCCTCAGATGTTCAGAGGAAAAGATGGATTTTGCCTGCCTCTAAAACAAGACAAACAAGGAAGATGCACCACTCCCTGGGGGCAGGGAGTTCCACCGGGCCTTGTCTTGTAAGCTGTTTGGCCAGCCTGTTTCCTTTTTGGCCTTGCTTTGCCCAGGTGCATCCCAAAAGGACCAATATGCCCGGCATCAGCACCACTGACCGTGGAGGTTTCCGGGGCCGTTTCCACAGCCGAGGAGGTCCACCCCAACGAGGCGGGTTCTGCAGAAGTCTGCGTTCAAGGCCACATGGGAGGGTATCCAGGTGAGTACCCTGGAGCTGAAAATGGCAATTTTGAAGGGTGGACTCCATGGCATTTTACCAGTCTGAGGTCCCTCCCCAGTTTCCACCCCCAAATCTCCAAGAATGTCCCGACCCAGAGTTGGTAACCCCATGTGACAACCTCCAATATGTAAACTTTTAACAACAACAGCAACGAAATATCGGAGAGGGTGTGTGCATGGTCGTTCCTTACAAAGTTTTCCAGAGGTTCCCAAACTTATTTGGCCTACCGCCCCCTTTTCAGAAAAAAAATATATTCAGTGCCCCCCTGGACATCTACCTTCAAGAGGTGGGCAAAAAGATGCAGTTTGTGGATCGGCACCAGCCCACCTAGATCGTTCCAGCGCCCCCGAGGGGGTGGTATTGCCCACTTTGGGAACTAGTGTTTTAAACTGTCTGCCTCGCCATTAGTACTTCGTTTGCAAGACGGCATCTCTTTCCTCTCCGGAAGCTGAACAGAACTTTTGGTATACCATAATGCTTCAAGAGAGGGGAACCAGAAGCAGAACTATTGAGCAGGGGGTTGGACTATCAGTGATGGCGAACCTTTTAGAGACCGAGTGCCCAAACTGCGACCCAAAACGCACTTATTTATCGCAAAGTGCCAACATGGCAATTTAACCTGAGTATTGAGGTTTTACTTTAGAAAAAACAACTCATGCATTAACTTCAGATGATCCAAACAGAGTAAAGAAAACAATCCCAGATGCTTTCGTTTGCTTAAAATTATTTGGCAGAGAATTTGACACTTTAATGATGGTCTGGGCCTGGCCGGGGCGATGGCACGCGTGCCCACAGAGAGGGCTCTGAGTGCCACCTCTGGCACCCGTGCCATAGGTTCGCCACCACTGGACTAGAGGGTCGGTATGGCCCCTTCCAACTCTATGATTCTATGAACTAAGAGCAGGGCATTTCTGTGCAACCCATAAGTGGGTCTGGACTGTAGCAGGCAGCTAATTCAAGAGTTGCTGAGCTCTCTGGGAGACCCCGGAGATCCCATAATACCCCTCCTCAGTAGCATGGAATTTTTTTTTGGGGGGGGAGAGCTGTCCAGTCCTCCCATGATTTCCCCACTTGCAGTCCCTTCCCCTCTGTTCACTTTTATGGAAGGGGCTGCGCCCAGGGACCCCTCTGAGAGGAGACTCGTTCCTGTCGTGCAGAATTAACTTCCCTGTCACGGCAGGTTTAGTCACCTTCGAAATACCGTTTGAGCCTCCCGAACTCTGAGGCAGGCATGAAACGGGAAACGCAAACCTACGGCAACTCGTGAGCCACCTTGGCAGAGGACGGATTTTTAAAAACACCTATTAGAACAACTTGACAGTGTCACCTGATGGTCAAAGCAGGCCCTGAAGGGGCTCCTGACAAACCTTCGCTTTGGATCTGTGGCCCTTCTCCCCCCCCCTCCCCCCAGACCCTTGGAAAGGAGGTCATGCTTCAGCTCCGGTTAATGCAGGGCTGATCTGGGGCCACCTCCGGTGCTGGCAGGAGCAATACCTGAGTTGCTAGAACTCCTCTGAGCACAGTCTCTCGTGTGGACGTGTGGAAGCAAGTCTTGTCACCGGGGGTGGGGTGGAGGGAGAACCCCTCCTGCTGTCCTGTCGTCTTGAGGGACTGCGGGGCAATGTTACAGAGGGCGAAAGTGCCCCGGCAAGCACATTCCACGTTGGGCTTCTGCAGCTGCCAGGCTGTGTTAGGATCACCTGGGAACTCCGTCTGGCCAGCAGGCTCTTTGGCGCGCAGGCCGGCAAGAAGCTGGACACCTTGACTGTGTCTGTGGGCAGCGGCTTCTGCATCTCAACGGGCCAAAATGAGCAGTGACTGGCCCCCGAAGGAAGCGGCCGCCCGAGAGCGCCCACCCCCCGAGAGCGCGTCACCTCCGCGGCTCAGAGAGCTGGTTCCAAGTGTCCCTGGCAGCGGACGTGTAGCTCGAGCTGCAACGTCTGCATCGTTGCTCTTTCGATTGAGGCGCCTTCAGACTGCCGTGCCCCAGATTAGCTGGAAGCCACTCTTCCCCCTACGAGAGCCAGCACCGAACCGGGGATCCACAGCTATGGTTTCTGTAGCCAGGAGGAACTGTGAGAATCAAGGGCACAGGCTCCGTGCTCGCCTTTGAAAAGTTTCCCACCCTGTGGGTAGGGACCCCAAAGTGGGTCACAAAGCCTCTGCAAAGGGGTCGGGGGCCAGCCCTCCCTAATGGCCACACACTGCCCTTTCCATAGCGCTCTTCTGTGTCTTGGAAACAGAGAGCTGACCCCGGAAACAGCATCTCCCATTTTGTCTTCACTGCATAGGCACGTGGATCAAGTAAAATGTGTCCTGATTGTCACACGTGTGGGCGAGAATCTTGGGGGGGGGGTTGGAGTGAGTAATGGAGGAGGAAAGGGCAGTCAAAGGCTAGAAGGTAACCTCCATATGGAAAGGCAGTGTCTGTCGGAATGCCACTTGCTTGGGACGGTGCCCTTTGTGCCAGGTTTGTTGGTTTCTCGAAAGCATCTGGTTTGTCACTGTAGAAAACAGGATGCTGAACTAGATGGGTGCCAAGGTCACAGTTTCCGTAGGGTGCCATGAAAGAAGAAGAAGAGGAGGAGATTGGATTTAGACCCCGCCCTTCACTTGGAGTCTCAGACCGGCTTACAAACTCCTTTCCCTTCCCCTCCCCACAACAGACACTATGTGAGGTGGGTGGGGCTGAGAGAACACTGGCACAAACTGCTCTCTCAGGAACAGCTGTGCCAGAGCTTGTGACTGACCCAAGGTCACACCCGCAGGTGCACGTGGAGGAGTGGGGAATCAAACCCGGTTCTCCCAGATTAGAGTCTGCACACTTAACCACTGCACCAAACTTGGCCAGCCCTTGATTGGGTCACCATAACAAATAAATTTGGACCTGTGGGTCCTCAATACCAAAAGGCTGGGTAACCGCTGGTCTAGAGCTTTGACAGATTGGCGTAGTGGTTAAGTGCGCGGACTCTAATCTGGGAGAACCGGGTTTGATTCCCCACTCCTCCACTTGCACCTGCGGGTGTGACCTTGAGTCAGTCACAGGTTCTTTCAGAGCTGTTCTACCTCCCTCATGGGGTGTCTGTTGTGGGGAGGGGAAGGGAAGGGAAAGGCGTTTGTAAGCCACTCTGAGTGAAGGGCGGGGTATAAATCCAATCTCTTCTTCCTGTTTTCCTCTTCCTCTTCTTCCAATCTCTTTTTCTCTCCTACCTTCTGATCTCTTCTTGGCTACTGAGAAATTGCCATGCATGGCTTACATTTGTAAGCACCCCTAAGAACTAGAATCCTGCTTACGTGTGGCAGACAGGAGTGGGGTAAAGAAAGTGGTGACATTTCAGGCTGCTGTGCTGTGTGCTAGGGAACAAATCCCGTGCTGGTGACTTTGGAGCACATAAATGTAGAGCAGACACAGTCTTGAACACAAGCCTGTGTGTCAAAGGGGCAGCAAACTGCGCAAATGATATACATTGGCAAGGACCTGGGGTACGAGTGTGTCCAGAAGAGGGCAACCAGGATGGTGAGAGGGTTGGAATCCAAGTCTTACGAGGAAAGGCTACTATGGAATGCTGAAAGAGTTGGGTATGTTTAGCCTGGGAAAGAGAAGGCTTAGAAGGGGACAGGATTGCAGTCTTCAAGTATCTGAAGGGCTGTCCTGTAGAAAATGGAGCGGATCTATTCTCTCTTGCTCCGGATTGCAAGACTAGATCTAATGGGTATTACAAGGGAGTC